CATTTTCGGCCTTAAAATGGCCGCTATTCGGCTATCGTTAATGAGATCATGAAACAAATGCACATACATATTTGTGACATGATGTACCTTGTGTGTGTGAAGTTTGAACTTGATCAATCCAGACATGTCTCGGATACGGATCCAGAACTGAATTCTTTAAAACAAAATGGCCGCCAGTCGGCCATTTCGAACCCGATCCAAAAAAAAAAATGACGTGCATCAAGGTCCTATTATGTTTAATGTATGTACCAAATTTGAACAAAATCCGTCCATGCATAACTGAGATCCGGGTCCGGAATGGTGAAAATGTGCGATTTTGATGCATTTTCGGCCTTAAAATGGCCGCTATTCGGCTATCGTTAATCGGATCATGAAAAAAATGCATGTGCATATGTCCCATATAAGGTGTGATGTATGAGTGAAGTTTGAACTTAATCGGTCCATGCATGTTCAAGATACAGGTGATCACGGACGCACGGACGCACGGACGCACGGACGCACGGACGGACGGACGCACACAGGGCAAAACATAAGTCCCCGTTTTCGGACTGCGTCCGAACGGGGACTAAATAGTGAATTTGTGATTTTCAATTATGGGTTTGACTTCTATTAGAGCCCCTAAAACATACAAGAAATAGTGAATTTGTGATTTTCAATTATGGGTTTGACTTCTATTAGAGCCCCTAAAACATACGAGAAATAGTGAATTTGTGATTTTCAATTATGGGTTTGACTTCTATTAGAGCTCCTAAAACATACAAGAAATAGTGAATTTGTGATTTTCAATTATGGGTTTGACTTCTATTAGAGCCCCTAAAACATACAAGAAATAGTGAATTTGTGATTTTCAATTATGGGTTTGACTTCTATTAGAGCCCCTAAAACATACGAGAAATAGTGAATTTGTGATTTTCAATTATGGGTTTGACTTCTATTAGAGCCCCTAAAACATACGAGAAATAGTGAATTTGTGATTTTCAATTATGGGTTTGACTTCTATTAGAGCCCCTAAAACATACGAGAAATAGTGAATTTGTGATTTTCAATTATAGGTTTGACTTCTATTAGAGATGTGGCTTTAAATGCAGATTTACGGTACACAGCTACAGATATTGACTCTGTCATAGAAAAGGGGTTACTTTTGCTACTGTTGACTATCTAATAATTTTCTTTTATGTTGTTAGATGCATTATTACATATGTACTGCAGCATAAACATTGGTATTATTTACAACTGATATACAAATGAGATAAAATAGTCCTTTTTAAAGTTGGATTTTTTTGGTACTTGAATTGTCAAAGTATATTTTGGACCCTATAATTATTGTTGAATGTAATGATTGTGTAATTTGAATAATAAGACTTTCAAAGTTTTTTTCATCAGTCACATGTCCATGAAATAATTATTGGTATTTTCAGAGCAAATTCAAAATGGTGACTTATACAGTTCAGAACTGTAGAACTCAAAGTAAAAACAAAGTCAGTAGGACCAAAGATTAATCTATGTTTGTTTTCTTCCGAATTTGAACAACAAATCAAATCAGAGTGTCAACACATTACAAAACATACTGCGCAGCTTTGAGTAGTAACGAAAACCCAGGAGAATGTAATTTTTTTTTAAATTGCAGTGGCATTGACATTTTCATTGACAGTTTTAGTCAGTGTTTCAATGTCAATAAAATCACATATACTTCAATGTCGATGTCAAAAATGTGTATAACAAGGCTGTGTCACAAAATAGATGTTTCATTGTTTTTATTTTGTAAAACACTTGAATTTTGTTCTGTTATGCTTGCTGCATGTTGCCAGTCGTCATTTTTGTAACTTACACAACTGTTAACACTGCAACTAGCACACATCTGCCTTAATTTGCATAAGAATGAAATGATGTGCCAGATTAACCAATCATACGACAGAATTTTTAATTGCCCTGTAAGCACTATAATGTGCCCAGTAGTTAAAGATCTGTGAACTAACCTTTGATGATGCAACCATGATAATCAGCTTTCAGTAACTTCTCTAGTGTCTGCTTATTGCTGAAAAATGTGGGAATATTGTATTTATCAGCTAATATGTCATTATCTATATTCAACATTGTGTGATGTCATTGATTTGTTCAACAAATAAGAAGATTGCATTTATCAGCTAATATTTGCATAATTATTGCACTCTGCATCCTAATTTGCATTGTTATTGGATGCAGATAACCAGGAATTATTGCATTCTGAAACTCCAGATTTTACACTAGTACTGGTAGATTTATCATATACATTATATAGATATTATGTATTTAATATTCTGAGAAATGTTGTGGGAACAAAGTCATGACACAGACAGGGTACTTACAATCCTTTTTCTGGCAGTATCTGCAGATAATCTCGAATGTAATCTTTCCATAAATAATGTAATGGTTCATAAATTGTATATCTGTAGGAATTAATACATGTATATCATAATAATAATAATTTTTTAAAAATGAAAATGCTTCTTACGGTCCTGCATACATATTACCCCTTTGTATTATAGTAGTAGTGTCAGTAAAACTTATTTGAAAGCCTTTTTAATTTTGAGTTAATTGTTCAAAAGTCAAATCTGATAGTTACAGAATTCTGGAATTGTACTGATCAAAAGCTGTCTTGCAACGTTCATCACAACTAATGTATTGTTGTCAATACAATAATTCTGTCAATAATTCTGCTTCCAGTACAACTGACCTAGGAAGAATGCAATGTTCAAGGTTTGCTGGGATGTAGTGGTAAACATGAATGAAATAAAACCTAATGGCTATATTATAGAAAACTCAAAGTATCCAGGGTGCATCTTAGACTAATCTTAATGGAAAATGCTTCACATCCAATATCAATTTTGTAATACATGTAGTGTCCATCATTGATCACTGAACAAAGAACCTTGCTGAAAACGCAATCACAGCTGCATCCACAGAACTGTTCAATGACATTTGGCTATTGGCAGAAAATTTCTTATGTGGATATTTTGAGAATAAACTGCAGTTATTACAGTACAGATATTACTTGACACATCAAAGATTTCAAAAACAATTTTTCGGACAGTACGAGACCAGATATGAAATGTGCTCGAGTCATTATGCCTAGATTCTGTTATTAAAATATTCAGACATTGCAATAATTCAATAGTATCTGATGGGTTTCATCAGGATTGAGTGAGTGTGTAATCTAAGTCATACCAAACTTGGTTGTTCTATAAAGCGTGTTGGCTTTTTTTATAGCATAAAGTTTTCTGTGACATATTGTTGTTGATAACTGTTTATGTTTGGACAACTTCAAAATAAAGTAGTACTCAAAACGTCCACATACATCAACTGCTTTGGAGCTATGGTAAATATAACTGATCATATATATGAAGAAAAATATGATAACTAATAAAAAACAAAAGAATTAAGTTGTATGTAAGAATAGACTTCTGCATATATTCTTGTCACAATCTCTATTTACTATACTTTACTTTTGGTGATCTGGTTTGATATCATAAATCTTCAATTGTCTTCGTTCTTTGGCAGTAAGGGATTTTCTTTGCTTCATAGAGGTTTCCGTGGGTACTTTTTTTGGCTTTACCACATCCATCACAATAGCTTTAGCTGACAGGATGTTTCTGATTTCTTGGTCAACCCTTCTCTTACTTGTCACAGTTCTTCTTAGGAAGGACTCCACAAATACATTTTGCGCAGGTTTCTGAATTTGAGACAGAAATAAACAAATGAGAAATAATTTGTCATTTATTTCAATTATTCAAAACATAAATGTTCAAATCTTCAAAGGCGCACACAAGGTACATATAAAATATAAAAGACAAATATAAATGCAGGTTTTGACTAAAAATAAAAAAGACTTTCCCTTAAGTTACAAAACTGCAGATAATGTCTTGTAAACAAACACACTTGTTCCATGGCTTGACATGTTTTTGACATTGTAAACACTTGGAATTTAATAGCATTTCAAATTTTGATGTGGCAATCAGCAGTGAACCAGGTTTTTTGAAACATGCGCATTCTAGATATTAAATGTTGTTCATGCAGACATTATTGAATGAGTAGTTAAATTATCAAAGTATTCATAATTGCGGCACTATTGTATCTAAGGACGCAGGAGACATGATCTAAAGTAAGTTATACAAAATGTACATTATAAAATCACATTGCGTTTCGTGTTGTTCTGTGCAAAAGGAATTACACTTATACGTGATATAAAGATTCAAAACCAACTTTTCACATTTTTACAGTGGTACATGTATGTATAAATTCAAATAATTTAATGTTAATATAGTATTCTGTGAATATAATCAATTGTTAAGATTTCTATTTCAAATTAGACCACATACCAATCACAAAGTCAATAAATCTGTGTTCAATCGAAATCGCTGTCATAAATAACATTGATCAAGTTGAAATCGATAAAACATATTGACATCAAATGCAAAGAACAGTGATTTAATTGGTATCATATGGTACTGTGTTTGAAATAGCGATGAAATTCGGAGAAGGAAAATGTATAGACTTTCACTGGACCCATGGATGATGAAACTAATAGTACTGCTTGGTGACACACAGTCAATACTGTAGATGTATTAATTTTTCACTGGGTTTTAAAATTCGCTAAATTAAATCTATGTGAACATGTAAAACAACAATCAAACTCTTTGTTTTTTTTACAAATTCTTGAAATTAAAACAGTGAATATGCTAAAAACATCAAAATAGTGAAAATAAATGGTTTTACAGTCCTTGATGTCTGTGGTGATACATGGCAGAGTTTGCGATGACCAATCACGTGACTATTTTTTTTTTCATTTAGAACACCGCAGGGATATTTACACTCATATAACAATAGAAATCTTGTATGATAATTGTGCTATTCTTTATGTACATACGTTATAATCTGCAGTTCTGTAGCTCACAGAACATATTGAAGTTTATTGTATTCACTGTGATTCAGTTGTGTAATGAAGTTTAACTATATTTACCTCTATTCCGAGCTCTTCCTTGTATTTATTAACTTCTTCTGGAAGGTCATTATAAGCTCCGTAATAAACAGCAGCTTCTTTGCTAGTTGATGGAAGCATTGAAGCTTCCTTGTTGACAGACGTCATGTCTGTGGTCAACACGGGTTGGCGGAGTTAAAATCTCACTGAATTGGAATTTTAACATCCAAAGAACGAAAACTTTTTTAGAATTAATCTTCCCCGCTATCTAAGATAATATACGCATTAGAGTCAAATAACTAATTGGATTACGTACACTAGCTAAATGTATATACGTCAACACATGTCCAATTTATACGAGTGGCCATTTTGAATTCTTGTTGATATGAATAGCGCCACCACAAACACATTAGCAATAAACAGCGCCACTCAAGGTGACAAAATGATCCACACAGGTAGGTGGGGGGTGGGGGGGGGGGTTTACTTGTAATATTTTGTTCAGTAGTACTTTTATTACTTCCTGGGAGTTAGTGTTTTTATTTGTACAGTTTAAGTACACAGTGTCCTAATTTTCTTAGGAATTATTTGCTAGTGAATATCCTGAAGGCATGAATGTTTTCTTATACAAATTCCATATAACAGTTGAAAACAATAACCAATCACAACCAAAGCATGGTAGTAAATCAGCTAATGATTGAGGAGAACGTGCAAAGACTTGTGGGTAAAGGACATTACCAAATGGTTTTTAATAGACAGTGAAAACATATTATTCATACTTGAATGAAGTGTGGGGGTTTTCTAGGATAAATTAAAAAAAAATAAACGTGGGGGAGGGGGGTAAAACAATCAACAGTAATGTCATTACTGAAAACGCGGCTATTATTAAAAGTGGTGAAATTAAAAAATCACCAGTTTCAGAGCACCAGATTTTCTCCACATGGTAGCATTTGCAGTATTTTTTACTCTTTTAGACCACAGCACCAAGTGTGTTAAATATACATTGTACTCCCTTTCATATCTGCATGGGATAATTTTTGCTTTCTGAGTTGATTTGATTCAAATGGCTCACTGGTTGGGTTGAATTCTTGCCTATTTGTAATGCTAATGGCACAAGTTAGTGTTTTTATGATTGTTAAAGCCATAGTTGTGGTCATTTTACTCATGAAGGCATGAGGCCTTAGGGGATTTGGTAATACTAACATACGAAAGCGATAAAACTGAATAATTCAGCAATCAGTAGATTTGCCCTGGACACAGAAAGAAGTGAGGTTAATTTATATAAATACAAAAGAGGTACATGTATGTATGCTCTGCTATTTGCTCATTAATAATTCAACGCATAACACAAAAGTCAATAATTTGGCAAAGACTTCCATCAAATCTCCAATAGCTCAGTCATTACAAGCTCTACATGCTCTATTTGATGTTTTAAATTCAGAACCCTACCTTTGCCAACTTTTTTCAAAATTTGAGAAAGAACTCCATCTCATCATCAACTTCTGATGTTGCACCTTGACTATTAAGCTACACACAGTTATAGTCAAGGTGCAAGGTCTGATTACAATAACAGTTTACAAGTTATTAGCTGAAGTAACTATACACTCTTCATATGGATACAACTGTAGTGGTTTCAATCTGCATTGAGACATGTGGATTTACAGAAATAAACGTATGACCAAAACAAAGAGTCATCTGACCAAGCGTGGTATAATTGTCCCGAAACAATAGAATAGAAGCCTGCATATAAGACAATTTACTTGGCAGCCTTTATTAAGTATACACTTTACCAATTCTAAAAAAGCATACAACACTATGCAGAAAATATGCACAACTCTTGTATTACATCATCCAGATAAAAGCATCCTCAAGTAAGCAAAGAAAAATACCTACCATAATATTCAATATGTGTATTGGGAGATTATAGACAAAGTAACACTAATTTATAAATTTTCTAAAAACACACAATGTATAGTAGAAAAGGACTGCACATGCAGAGTCACTGTTTATTCAAGTGATTTAAGAAATATTTGTTTACATCACAAATAAAAATGTCTGCAGTTCTTTTGTAAGGTATCTCATAATCTCACAAAGCAAATAACAGTGTCAGTATGAAGAACAAAAAATGTGCACAATTGTATTTTCCAGCAATTCATGAAAATATTAATACTAGAGATGAGTTTTCACAAAATTCTCTATGACTATACTGTATTATTATACATCTGTCACCGTAACGCCATAAGTTACAGTGTGTCGTAATTTTGTGATATTTATTTTACGGGTATTTTCATCCTACTATATAAGGAAATGTGAATTCCTAATATGGAATTATTACGCGTTCTCTAATAATAAAAACAAACATGGCTGCCATTGAGGGTTGACCGGACTCCACACAAAGAAGTGTGCTGATTCTGTTCTAAACATTTTTGGATTTTGGCATTCCAATGATGTTTCCTTGGAAGGAAAAGATGTATAATAATAAGGCTATTACGAGAATACCTCAAAGTATGCACGAAGACAGTACGCCCTCACATCGACCTCCGCTGCGCGTCAGTCGATACTGCCGCTGTACTGTCTACATGCATACATTGAGGTATCCTCGTAATAACCTCATATTATCAGATATATTTTATTTGTCTCCTTTCACGTATAAAGTAGTTTGTGCCATATTGCAAGATATCAAGGTCAAAATTTGTGTCCATAGTCGAGAATTTCTGAGAATTTTTTTATGTTTGTACAAAGCTTACTGCATTTTAAGACCTCATTGAGTTCACTAAATCATACACAGTGTTATTTAAAGTACACACACTTACATGCTTGAAGTGAAAATAAAGGCTCTGGTAGTGAGAATGTTTTAATGTGACAAATTTAAAGTCCTGTGATGCATTCCTCATCTAATTAGTTTGTTTTATACCCCTTCTCTTCTAACTCAATATGTGAAGTCATATCATGTTCCCACCAAGTTCAAGTAAACTTTTAACACTTTTAAACTGATGAATTTTGTACTTCCTAGGTTGAACATGATGAATCAAAGCAGAGTTCAAAACAATGTTGTATGATCACAATGGGTGTGCAGTCCCAGATATAAACCTCCTACAGCGGGGTGTGCAGAATCAGCATCATCAACATTGTGTATTTAATGATTTTCAATGCCCCCCCCCCTCCAGGTGAACATCATCCCTTTCATGTTTAGTGTCTCCAATATTTAATGAAATTGGTTTTGTCACATTCAAACAAATACTGACACATTTCAGGATAAAATTGGCAGCAAATCCTCTGAACTGGAAAAGAATCCTCGCAACAACATAGAATAAGTATTTCTAAACAATACAATGTAAGCTAGATACTAGTATATGAAAACACTTCTATCGTGAGGACTGAATGGACATTTATATGAATTCCTTTATGTAAACTGCATGATGCAATGTGATTCAGCAAAAATATTTGGAAATATGAAAAAAAAATCTTTGATATGTGTGGATTGATTTCAACCCAACTACAAAAGCAGTATGCATGTATAAAGTTTGCTAAGATAGGATGTAAAAGTATTGACCATAATTAATATTTAGTGTGCAAATTATTTGAGACCATAAACAAATCTGTTCCTAGTTTTGTTGCTCGTCAGTTCCAAGGCCTTGTACAGGTATGTATGTGCAATGAAAACTATATAGATCATGTATTTATATCTATGTATCAAATTTGATATGAAATTTCTGAATTCATTTCTGAGAAGTCCATGCCACAGGCAGACAGACAGAGTATATCATGACATTACCTGTGTGGAGCATAGAAACTGAAAACCAATAGCATATTTGCTCTATTAGTAGTATCCACACTTACTTAAATGACAGTATTTCTAAGGTCAATACAAGTCACATTTTAATAATTTGGGCATACATTTAATACATTATGATTAATAATTCACTCCTAATAGAACAAATATGTGTTCACTGATTAACACTATATGCATCATCATCACCACCTTCTTTATACATTTCTTTTTAGCTATATCATGTAACCCTTCCCCTCCCTTGTCTCTCACATATAAACTAACGAAGTAATATATTTGGCAGTATTTTAAAAATGTGCTGTTAATCGTTCAACATCCATCAAATCATCCAGGATCTGAAAACACAAACAAACAAACAAAAATTGTTAGTGTTTCTGACACATGCTAGAATTTATGAGTGATGGAACTGTAAAATAATTACTATGATTCATTAGTTTACTACAAGGATCCAATATTTCAATTAGACAATGTTATAATTGCTCTACATTATTCTCTAATTATTTCACACTGATTTATACTTTGCAGGTAAAGGTTTCATTTAAAATACTGCAGAATCCTGAAAAATGTATACTGAGTCACATGGTGTGAATGTGCACAAGGTTGTGACCATGTACATCATAAATCTACTTTGAACATGCCTACAAGTCACTGATAGGACAGAACAGAACAGACATTATAAAGCTACAGTTGGTGTATTTTGCATGCCTGACACTTCCATCTAACATCATAAATGTGAAAACAATAATTCAAACCAAATATTATACATCTGTCACTGTACCGCAATACCGGTGTATTACAGAGTACCGTAATTTTGCTGTATTGCACTGGGTATTTTCATTCTACCATATTAGGAAACGTAAATTCCAATTATGGATCGATTACGTGCATAAGTGCCCTCTAATAATAAAAAACAAACATGGCTGACCCCAGGGTTTGACCAAACCCCAAACACAAAGAAGTTCATTAAATGTGTTCTAAACGTTTTGGATTTCAAAATTCCTATGATATATTTCTGGGAGGAATAGATGTATGTAAAATAATAAGGTTATTACGAGGATACTGCAAAATATGCACTCAGACAGTACATGGTCGCATCTCCCTTATAGTAGTATAACAATGGCATTATTAACAAGTCATTGAAAATGACACAGTCCCCAATAAGTTCTCTTTGTGCTCGTCATATTAAAGCGGAGGGGTTGTCACGAGCGTGTCCTTGAAACTTGAGTTCCAAGTGGCATATACAACAGATTGTTTATTTACATCAAAACACGTGTTTCGTGTCATAGTAATATGGCCAAAATAAAAACAGCCGTTATTCAGCCATCTTTGATCTGATTATGAAACACACTGATATGTATGATGTATGTGCCAAATACGAATGAAAATGGTACATAAATTGTGGATATATACATGTAGTAGTAAGGCCAAAAAGTGAGATGGCTGTCAATCGGCCATTCTTGACCAGATTTTGAAACAAATTGTCATGGACATGCATCCTAGCATGTATAAAGTACATGTATGTGCCAAATTTGAATGAAAACTGATCGAGCACGTCCAAGATACCGCATAAAAAAAACAAAAACAAGATGCCTGCCAGTCGACCATCTTTGATCCAATTGCGATATAAATCGTCATAGACGTGTATCCTAACATGTATAATCTATGTACCAAGTTTGAATGACAACTGACTAAGCATGTCCAAAATACAACATTTTCAAATAACAAGATGGCTGCAAGTCGGCCATTTTGAATTGAATCGCTAAACCACTGCATGTGCATATGTCCCACATAAGGTACTAGGCACATGCGAAGAATGAACGGAATCGGTCCACAGGATTCTGAAATATGACGTTGGATAGACCTACGCACAGACAGTCGGACGGACAGACTCAGGAACTCACAAACGGTCTGGGACACGTATCCTAACATGATCTATGTACTAAATTTGAATGAAAACTGACAAAGCATGTCCAAAATACGACATTTTCAAAAAACAAGATGGCTGCCAGTCGGCCATTTTGAATCGAATCGCTAAACCACTGCATGTGCATATGTCCCACATAAAGTACTAGACACATGCAAAGAATGAACGGAATCGGTCCAAGGGATTCTGAGATATGACTCCGGACGGACGCACGGACGGACGGAGACCGAATTATAAGTCCCCGTTTTCGGACTTCGTCCGAACGGGGACTAATAAGGAACGGTGAATGTATAACAGATACACTGTTGTCCTACATTTGGATAACATGATAACACTGTTTTACAATATCAAGTAGACGATTATTGCATTGGCCTTGAACCTGCATTATTAGATAAACAGTATAATAAAGTACCACAGTAGTTGTGCCATGTCATACTCAATGTGGGTCCCATGCAACATATACAACACATATACATTATTTATTGAAATGAAATTAAAATGTATGCTGTGTGATAACTGTGGTGCTTGAGAAACATTCACTGTTTTTGACACAGCAATAACTCACCTGTTCTACACTTGTGCCGATCTTTTTTGCTAATTCTGTTCTTTCATTTACACTAAGGAATGTATATTTCCACAGTAAGTCTCCATCTAAGATGTTCTTATGTGTATTCTCTAAGGACTTAGTTTGATGCTTTACCATTCTGTAAGAAACATATGTTATCTCAAATTTCTGATCATACAAAGAATTACTGGGCCTTCATAAAGTTCTCAGAACTTGACCCTAGCTCTATTGCTATACTTGACATAATGCCGTTTCAATTTTCTTCAATACCGCAACAAGTTAGACATTTTTCTGCATAAAAATTCTGGTCATGGTAATATTTCCAAGATTACAAGGTTTTATTATTTACCTAAAGCCTTTAGGATTGAGTCCAGCAGTATGCAGGGTTTGTGTTGTCAAAGCATTCTGTAACATCAATAAACGTCGATATGTCTTTTCAGTCATTGGAATCAAATACCCAATACTGCCATCCAATGTTGCTACAAGAAAACATGGTTAACAACAAACATTAATAATGTGTCTGCCACTGTTTTATTTGCTTTAGAGCATCAAACGAGCACCCTCTATCATATTTAGTACTGACAAAGGGCAATAATCAGACTGACTGGAAGCTTGTCTTTTGAAAAGGTTTTTATACATAAAGAAAA